CCTGGGGTAATTGATCCCGATTATGAAGGTGAAATAAAAATTATAGCCAGTTCTCCAAAGGGTATATCAGTAATTTCACCAGGAGATAGAATAGCACAGTTACTAATAATACCCAGCCTACATGATAAATTTTCCAGTCGTACTGTAGAAAGAGGTTCCAAGGGATTAGGCTCCACAGGTGTAGATTGGGCTATGCTTTCTTTAAATTTAGATTCTCGCCCCATGCTAAAACTAAATATTCAAGGACATGAATTTAATGGGCTACTGGATACAGGTGCAGACCTTAGCATCATCTCTCGTCAAGAATGGCCAAAACATTGGCCATTACAACAAGCCACTCAAACGCTTCGAGGCCTAGGAGTGGCGACTAATCCCCATAGAAGTGCAATGGTATTAGATTGGAAGGATCCTGAAGGATGTGAAGGAACTATACAGCCATATGTATTGGATCATCTTCCCGTAAATTTATGGGGACGAGATGTCCTAGATCAATTAGGTTTGACATTAACAAATAACATCAACCAAAATGCACCCACTATTATGACTAGACAAGGTTTTAGGAAAGGAAAAAGATTAGAAAAACAAGAACAAGGTATAGCAGCACCAATACAAATAGATCAAGGAACAGACAGACATGGGTTGGATTTTCAGAAAGGGCCACTGAGACAATAAAAATTACTTGGAAATCAGAAAGACCAGTATGGGTTCCTCAGTGGCCCCTGACTAAAGAAAAGATACAAGCAGCCCATGACCTGGTCAAACAACAATTAGCAGAAGGACATATACAACCTTCTGTATCTCCCCATAATACTCCCATTTTTGTCATCAAAAAGAAATCTGGTAAATGGAGATTATTGCAAGATTTAAGAGCCATTAATAATGAGATGGTTATTATGGGACCTGCTCAATCAGGGATTCCTCAGTTGTCTGCTTTGCCAAAAACCTGGTATGTTTTAGTTATAGATATTAAAGATTGTTTTTTTTCAATTCCAATTCATCCTGAGGATAGTCCACGTTTTGCATTTACTATCCCTGCACTGAATCATGAAGGTCCTGATCAGAGATATGAATGGAAAGTACTCCCTCAAGGGATGGCTAACAGCCCAACTATGTGTCAAATTTATGTTAACAAAGTAATCCAGCCACTTAGAAATCAAAATCCTGAACTACAAATATTTCACTATATGGATGATGTATTATTAGCACACAAAGATAAAAACACATTGCTAGAATGTTATGCCACACTTACAAACTTATTAAAAAATTATAATCTAGAGATAGCAATAGATAAAGTACAATTAAATTTTCCAATTAATTATTTAGGAGTTCTATTATCCTCAACCATGGTCCGTCCACCAAAAATTCAAATACGAGTAGATCAACTCAAATCACTTAATGACTTTCAAAAGTTATTAGGAGACATAAATTGGATAAGGCCTTATTTAGGTATACCAACAGGAGAGTTGGGACCTTTATTTGATATCCTACAAGGTCCATCAGATCCAAATTCACCCCGAATGTTAACGCCTGAAGCAAGAAAGGCATTAAAAATCATTGAAACATATATGGAAAATATGCATTTGGATAGAATTGATATAAGTTTGCCTTTATTATTTATTGTACTACCAACAAAAAATATTCCTACAGGAGTATTTTGGCAAGAAGGTCCATTATTATGGATACATTTATCTTATTCTCCTAACACTATTCTTACTAGGTATCCTGAGGCTGTAGGACAATTAATACTCAAAGGAATAAAAGCAGCCAAGGGAGTGTTTGGAATTTCTCCCAATAAAATTATTACTCCATATACTATGAATCAAATTGATGAGTTAGCTAATGAGTTAAATACTTGGGCAATAATCATGTGTAAATCTAATGTTTCATTTGATAACCACTTACCATCTAATCCTTTATTGTCTTTTTGGTCATTGCATCCTGTAATTTTTCCAAAAATGACAAGAAAAACACCTATCATGAATGCTCCAAATATATTCACTGATGGGTCAAATAATGGTACAGCAGCAGTAGTTACCCCTGATCAAACTTTTACATTTTTAGTACCCAAACAATCAGCTCAAAAGGTAGAGCTTAATGCAGTTTTACAAGCTTTTGTGATGTTTAAAGATTCTGTATTTAATTTATTTTCTGATAGTCAGTATGTAGTTAATGCTATAGTATCTCTTGAAGATGCTGGTAGGATTTCCCCTTCTTCTACTGTTTTCTCTTTGCTTTCCACTATACAAAGTCTAATCTGGGACAGAAAAGATCCATTCTTTATAGGACATATCAGGGCACATACAGGATTGCCTGGAGCCCTTAGTTTGGGCAATGATTTAGCAGATAAAACTACACATGACATACATATTTTCTCTACACTAGAAGAAGCTATAAATTTTCATAAAAAGTTCCATGTCAATGCTAATACTTTACAAAAGCACTTTAAAATAACTAAGGAACAAGCTAGACAAATAATAAAACAATGTCAAAATTGTGTGACCTTTTTACCACAAGTTAATCTTGGAGTCAATCCTAGAGGATTGATACCTAACCATATTTGGCAGATGGACGTCACACACTTGCCAGAATTTGGAAAATTAAAATATTTGCATGTTACAGTTGATACTTCTTCTGGATTTTTGATGGGCTCCCTTCATGCCGGAGAAAAAACTAAAGATGTTATAGCTCATTGCTTACAAAATTTTGCCACTGTGGGTGTTCCAAAACAGTTAAAAACAGATAATGCCCCTGGTTATACTTCTACCTCTTTTAAACAATTTTGCTCAACATTTGGCATTACTCATATAACAGGAATCCCATACAATCCACAGGGACAAGGCATAGTTGAAAGAGCTCATCAAACTATTAAAATGTACTTATTAAAGCAAAAAGAAGGAATTGGGAAGGGGTATATATTCCCCAAAGATAAACTTAAAATAACCCTTTTTACTCTAAACTTTTTAAATTTGGATTCATCAGGACTTAGTGCTGCGGAAAGGCATATGTGTCCAAAAAATGTACATAAGCCCAAGGTACTTTGGAAGGATATTCTAACAGGACAATGGAAAGGTCCTGACCCAGCAATTGTCTGGAGTCGAGGGTCTGTTTGTGTGTTTCCACAGGGAGAACAGCAGCCGATTTGGATTCCAGAGAGATTAACCAAGGTCCTGACCCAGTGATTGTCTGGAGTCGGGGGTCTGTTTATGTGTTTCCACAGGGAGAACAGCAGCCGATTTGGATTCCAGAAAGATTAACTAAAGCGATTTCTACAGACCAAAAAGAAGATGATTTGGCTCAAATCCATAACAACTGATATCCAAAACTCCAGTTTGGCTATTCTTACATCTGCAACAGAACCAGGATGCTTTTTTCAATATCTATTTTATTATTGCCCTTTGCCATATCATGAAGTTCTATTTTGTTTTTTGAGCTCATACAAACCTAGGTTAATGTTTTGCTGATCAGTTCTATTTTTTGACTATAGAGTTTTTAAACATTGCAATGGAGATTTCACCTGTAAAAAGTTATAAGGCCTTTACTATAATGTTATGTGTTGTATGTATTATATTATGTGTGCACACTTGTGTTTTGTGTTATATGTTTGAATGTACGTATGTCCATATATCATATATGATGAGCGCTCATGATAAAATGGATCCAAATATTTTTTTTTTCACGTGATTTATATGGTTTAATTTAAATTGGGTAAACAACTGTTGAGGATTGTTTTAATATGTAAACAAAAAAGAAGGTTAACAGATCTGTTTGTTTACTTTCACCTTTCCTTTTCATTATATTTAATAATTCTCTTAAAGATAATGTAAATTGTTAAGAAAATTGTTTTCTTTTAGTGCCTTCTGTAATGTTACATAATTTTTTCTTTAGCCATTATTGCCAGAATTCCTATCTTCATCCCAGTGCCGGTGAAGACAATGTAAATTGTTAAGAAAATTGTTTTCTTTTAGTGCCTTCTGGAATGTTACATAATTTTTTCTTTAGCCATTATTGCCAGAATTCCTATCTTCATCCCAGTGCTGGTGAAGTCAAAGATAAAACCAATCTACAGCTTCTACAATAGCCATCACTGAACTGCTTGCAGAACTTGCCTGGACACATTGTGAGCTCACCTGTATGCATTGTGAACTATCTGTTGGTGCAGTGACTTGTGGTAGTGCTGGAGTATTTTTGCTGATGGTGTCACCGGTGGTACAATTTAGGAGCCCTCAATTGGCTTAATGTCATGGCATTTTGCATCCTCCTCTACTAGTGATGGTCTAAAATTTGGGGGCCAACAGAGGTGAGGCAAAGAACCTCACCCCCCCACAGGTGCAAAGGCCTATCCACAAGTATGGCTGTATGCTGGACCGGTAGTCAGTGACGGGTATGATCCAATTGCAGTGGTACCAACCTAAGACAGGAGGCTGACGCCTAGAGGTCAGTTCATCCGATGACGGGTAAGGACCATATGTTGAATTGGACTGCCTAACAGGCACGGTCCCTAAGCCACATGCTTGTTGTTTAAACAGAGAGGGGGAGATGTTGAGAGCCACAGCCAAAGGGGCCCCAGCAAACTTCCAGCTGCCAGCAAACTTCCAGCTGCTGGCTGATGATTGGCTCACAGCGGCCCCAGCAACATCTAGCTGATTGGCTCCTCGGCCCCAGCAACATCTAGCTGATTGGCTCCTCTGCGGTGATGCTCATTGGACTGTTTCCCTGCCCTTTCAGACCACGGAGCTGCTCATTGGGGGACTTTTTTGGCTCCGCCCACGTGACCCAGCCAATCGGCCTCAAGAGCAGGAGGATTGTGGGAGGTGGAGAGAAGTTGGTGGGGGAGAGAGAGGCTTGTGGAAAGCCGGTGGTGGCAGTTGAGGCTCTGAGGGTTTTTCCTGAGAGACTATTTTGTTTGTCGTGTGTGGTTCTAAAAATAAAGTTAGTTTCTTTTGACAAGTGGCTCCTGATTGTGCCCAGCCAGACTGCGGCACCAAAGCCTGGTGTGCCAGTTCACCGAAGCTCCGGCTGAGGTTTTGCTGTGCACCCGCAGGCGCCTGTGTGAGAATAAACGCCTCCTGCTTTTTGCAGCCAGTGTCTCGTGTGGTTCATTCCGGGTTTGGGATCTGTGGATATTTCATTGTGGAGGCCCCACCGAGATCCAAGATCCCGGTTCCGGTTCTGATCCCGGTCCCTATCCGGAGGACACCCGACATCACTGGGAGGTAAGCTGGCCAGCTCAAACTGACTGTCTTGTTGTCCTGTTGGTTATCTGTTCTTTGTTCCGCGCAGCGTCTGTAAGACTATATGATCCTAGGCATAGTCATTTAGTATTCTGAGTATTCTGAGGCAGTTCTGTCATTTAGTATTCTGAGGCAGCTTGAGAAGGAGTTGACGAACTCGGACTTCTCCCCTGCCACCCTGGGAGACGTCCCAGGGATCAGAAGGGTCCATTTCTTTGGGGCCCCCGGTGTTTCCGAGGGTTACACCATTTTTGTAGGCGACAAAGAAGTACAAACTTCTCCCAGGCCATCTGATTTGTTCGGTTTCCACCGAAGCCGCGCAGCGATCTCACTGTTTGGTTTCGTTTTTGTGTCATTGTGTCTGTCTCTCTATTTCCTCTCTGAGAATAACATGGGACAATCACTAACAACCCCTTTGAGCCTAACTCTAGATCATTGGCAAGACGTTCAAGATCGGGCAGACAACCTGTCCGTGGCAGTCAAAAAAAAAAAATGGGTAACACTCTGTACCATGGAGTGGCCAATATTGGCCCACCCTCGAAGTTAAATGGCCCCCAGGAGAGTCCCTCCATCTCTCTCTCTAATTTGCAAAGTCAGAGATTGTCTTTCAGCCGGGGCCGCATGGCCATCCAGATCATGGCTTTTAACCTTTCAGGACCTCTGCGAATCCCCTCCTGCATGGGTGGGATCCACGCAGTCCGCCGGGAGGATTCCACCCGGCGGTATGGCGGATCTGTCCCGTCCCTGTTCCTCCCGGCCCCTCCACCCCAGGAAGCGAACGGGTCTTCCTGGAGTCGGGCTGCTTGGAAATGTAGCCCAAGGCGGATGATAAATTCTATCTAAGGCTGAATACTGAGACTAGGGAAGCAATGTTTTCTTCCCCCCCCATAACCGGCTTGAGTGCAAATAGAGATGCCTGCTGGGGATTTAACAACTTTGACATCTCGCTTTGACTTTTCTCAAAGCCCTGTCCTCATTATTAAATTAATGTTAATTGGCTTTAGAGATGGGAACCAAATTTTCAGTCACAAATTTTGACACTCTCAAGGGGACTTTTAAGGAGTTCCCACTCTGCTTTCTTGGGGAAGCCTAGCACTCGAAACAACTGCAAGCAGAGGATGGACTTTTTGGGAGCTGGCTACTAACAAGTTAAAAAAAAAAAATACCTAAACTAGAGGAACTGATCCTGTGGGTGAAAGATAGGATTAAGGGACTCCCAGCAGCTGCCAGAGCCATTTAGCTCTGGGGAGTTCCCTGGGTCCTTATATACATCTTAAGGATCTGTTTACTTAACCTCTGTTTACTTAAAAAGAAGGGACACTGAATGCAGTAAAGCCAGTCACACTGAGACCCTTGATTTTACACCTATAGTTGCCCCTACGTGAAAACATCTGGTCCACTCATAGAAAAATCTATGGTGCCACTGATGGGAGTCATAATTAAATGAAAGTTCAAAACCTGGAGAGATATTTTCTTATCTGGTTGTCTAATTGTTTCTTAGGGATAATCTAGGTTAAATATGTGTCTAAAAAAATAAATAATAATAATTTTTTATTGTAATAATCTGGTATCTGAATGGGTTTCTAAAGCATTGCACTATCTTGCAGTTAAAAGTTGGGTTTAAGCAATTATTTAGTTTGATTTCAGATAGTTCATGCTAGAAAACTTAAATACTTGGGATAAAAAATTTTAAAAGTTTCAATTTTGAACTGGGTAGCCTAAAAAAAAAAAATTAAAAATAGATCCAAATATCTTTAATTCACGTGATTCAAACGGTTCAATTTAGATTGGGTAAACAGATAAAAGTAAAGATGTCCTCAAAATTAAGCTTATAAGTTTCTCTAGGTGTTCAAAAAGGCCCTAATAAAATGTTAACTCTGCTTAAATTTAAAAGTTTACAAGTATTGTTTCAAAATGTGAACAAAAGGAGGTTTATGTAATTATGGTGTTATTAATGTGTTCATATCTTCCAGGTATACAAGTCTGTAAGGTAAAAGCTTCAAAAGAACATTATATCAAGCTGGTGTTCTAAAGTTGTATGGTAATTTTAGGCTTAAAAAAAAAATGTTGAAAATTCGATTATATCATTTGTGTTCTATAACTGAACTTGTTATCAATAAGATATGTACAGTTCCATGTTACTTTCTACTCTAAGATACAATTTATGTATTTTTAAGTTAATAAGAGCCTAATCTGTGTAAAGGTTTAATTGCAAAACACAAAAGTACATTACTACTTTTCTACAAAAAGTTAAAAGCTTTCAGCCTTTAATTCATATTTTAGGTGTGATATTATGTTGTGTTAGCTAATGTTCATGTAAACTTGAACAACAATTTATGTAAACTTTGTAAAATGATCAGCTTCAGAACTATAGTACTTGAGATTTATAAAGAGCCCTGCCTTACTTGAGATAAGGCTCTGTCCCATCTCACTACATGTAAAAATGGCTATAAAAAAAGGTAAGCCAGATTTCAGTACAGTTAAAGTTGTGTCCAAAAGTAGGTTTTTGCCAAGATTACTAGGATCTCAAACAGGAAATTATGATGTATAACCCTGCCAGAATTCAAGGTAGCTATTATATAAGCTAAATATGTTTTTACCCTAGTTAGTTTTGTTTTATAGTTTGCTTATAGATGGTTTAAGGATTGCCTATTAATATTCTAAAGAGGTATTGCTTTAAGAACACAACCTGGGTCAACATAAGATAAAGAGTTATCACCTACAGGATAGAGAGATAGACATTAAAGCCCAGTGCTCTTAATATAAGGCTGTTAACTTATTTGCTGGATGTTTAAGATCAAGTTTTTAAAATTAGTTAAATTAAAAGGGCCAAGAAAACCAATATTTGGCTCTTGCCCTCTGAGTCAGTCTGAATCAGGGAATAGGGGACTTCTCCAAAGGGCTCAGCAACTCTAGGCCACATAACCTCCTGAGCAGGGAGATTAATGAGACCAGTGGAGGACAGAAAGCCAAATGGTGCATTTGCTGTAAAGAGGAGGGTCATTAAAAAAGGGAGACATCCCTGATGCTTCTGAGGGAAGCCATATGGTCAAACAAGGCCTGGACCCATCCTAGCGCAAATGACACTAGCAGAACTGAAAAGCTGCTATGAAGTTCCCGAGGACTCCCAGGATAACTCAGCTGACTGTAAACAATAGGTAGAAACAAAAGTCAGTTTGACTTGCTTCATCTTAAACACTTAGCAAAGACAGTCAAAGCCAAAGCACAGCTGTTCCTGGACATCTTAAATGATAATAATAATTAAATGTAACTTCCATAAATAAATAGACTGGAGGCTACAAGAGAGATTCTTAGACAGAAATGCCTGATAACTGTCAAAGGAACTACTAGAATAGTTTTAGTCTAAGGCTTTTATTTCTAGACAACACAGGTAGATTTGATGTTTGCTAATATGGTTATCCAGCCCTAAGTAGCAGAATTAAAGATTTCTCTATTAGACACAGAGGAAAAACAAAAGGCTCTTTTGGAAGCTCGCAAAAATGTGCCAGGGGACGACGGGCGCCCCACCCAACTCACAAATTTGATTAATGAAGCTTTTCCTTTAACCCGGCCAAACTGGGACTATGCGACTGAAGCAGGTGAGAACCACCTACATCTCTATCGCCAGTTACTCATAGCGGGTCTCCATGGAGCAGGGGGGTCTCCATGGAACAGGGCGACGGCCCACCAATTTGGCTCAGGTAAGACAGACTATCCAGGGGTCAGAGGAAACTCCGACAGCCTTCTTAGAGAAATTAAAAGAGGCTTATCGGAGGTTTACTCCCTTTGATCCTGATAATGAGGACCAAAAAGGAAACATTTAATGGGCCTGCCTTCGTCTCCCAGGTAAGTCAGGCGGTAGCCAATACATTGAAAATTAATTAAAAATTACATTATGGTTATAGACCCCAAAGTTCAGGACAGGTAAAAAAGATAAATAGAACCATTAAGGAGACTTTAACTAAATTGACACTTGAAACTGGCACTAGAGACTGGGTACAACTCCTACCTTTAGCCTTGTATGGGGCCCAAAACACCCCAGGCCCACATGGACTAACCCCATTTAAAATCCTGTACGGTGCCCCACCTCCCGCTATTAACTTTTATAAAACTAAAACCTATGCCTCCCTCACCCCATCTATGCAGACTCATTTGCATGCTTTGCAATTGGTCCAGAACGAGGTCTGGAAGCCTCTAGCCGCAGCATACAAAGAGGAACTTAAAACCCCCTTGCTGCCACATCCCTTCAAGGTCGGAGATACCGTCTGGGTACACAGGCACCAGAGCAGGAACCTCGAACCGCGGTGGAAAGGACCCTACACTATCCTGCTGACCACTCCTACTGCACTCAAAGTGGACGGCATCGCTGCTTAGATCCATGCTTCCCACGTGAAGACTGCACATCCACAGGAGTCCGCAGACACCTCTCCGGATCCAGAATGGAAGTTGCAACATACCCAAAATCCGCTAAAGATAAGACTCACTCGCTGTTAATTTTTCTTGCTTTGTGCTGTGTCTTCCCCATATCAGTTAACCCCAACCAATCTGTGAGCCAGACATGACAAGTATTATCGGGGACAAAAAATATAATTTAAAAAAAAAAAAAAACAAAACAGGATCCCCCACTTTCTGCCGACTCTTGCAGGAGCCTGAAATGGTACGGGGCAGGGCCATGTACCGCATTTGCCTGCAACCCCTTAAACATTACCTTTACTCAGGCAGGCAAAGCATCAAAAGATTGGATAAAAAAAAAAAAACAATGGGGCCTGAGAATATATCATAAAACTGCCTATGACCCTGGGGTCCTATTCAAAATTAGATTAATAGTAAATACCAACCCCCAACCAGTATGCTGAGCCGTCAGCTGAAATAATGCTGGAATCCGAGCAGATGGGTCAATGGATATAAGATTATATCCATGATATAAAAAAAGGGGGGAATGAAGGACCCCAAGGCCCCAGGCCCAACATTAGGAAAACTAACCCCTGTGCCCTGAAGCTGCAAGATGTTCCATATAGATAACCCCGGAAGGGCCAAACTTGAGCAAACAGGGTAAAAACAGGAACTAAAAGGACAGGATGCAATTTTATGGTTTTTCTGAGAACTAAAGTGGGAAAACAAGTTTACCCCCCTAGGTGACTCAACTGCTGAATTCAGAGGGACCAATAGGAAGGCTGTTGCTGTGCTAAGCTAAGACCTAACCCACCTGTTCCCTATAAAAGATCTATACCCCAAAGCCCGGTGTGCCAGTTCACCGAAGCTCCGGCTGAGGTTTTGCTGTGCACCCGCAGGCGCCTGTGTGAGAATAAACGCCTCCTGCTTTTTGCAGCCAGTGTCTCGTGTGGTTCATTCCGGGTTTGGGATCTGTGGATATTTCAGGATGTTGCTGCATTGGAGACCAAGACTTCAACACATGAGTTTTTGGGGGATATTTTTGATCTAAACCATAATGCTCCCTATATCTCTTTGCCCCATTTCCAGTTTTTCTACTAAATAAAGTCTTATTTGAAAAGTTGCTGACTTATAAAAACATTCAAATATGGTTAGTTGACTGATAAATTATCCAGAACTCTAAACAACAAGTATATAGCACAGTTTCCTTTATGTTCCAAAAGAGACATTTGATTATCATGTTTTGTTTGATTTCATTTCCAGCATACAACAGCATTGTCATAATGCTCCATATGACAATTGAAGTTAAAAGTTTAACATTTATGTAGAACAGATATAAGAGTACTAAAAATTATAAAATAGGTTATCTTTTTGCCATACATGGACACTATATAACACATTATTTACCAAATTAGCAATCATCTTGAGATCATACTATCATACTATGTCGGCCTCACTTTTGACAATTCTTTTTAAGGTTTTTACATCATATTTCAGTCCTGGTATATAACTCACCATTACTCAGATATGTTCTTTATCTGTCTTGGGACTTGACATAGGGAATTCTCTCTGAATAAAGTCTATTTCTCTTTAAAAATTCTCTTTCTCTTAAAATATGTCCTTACATATACTTTTCAAACTCTTAAATCAAGAATTATTTTGTGTTCCATGGAATCATGGATAATGCCTGTGTTACTTACTATGGAATCCCTAATGTCTTAGAATTAGAGGATTAGAAGATTTAACAAAAGGAAGGCCTGTAGTAAATATTGAAATAATAAAGGATGTTTGCTTTATAAATGGATAAATTTTGTTTCTTTAACTTATATTTTTCATTTGATGCCTTGGACAGATTTCATTCTGATTTTCATTTTATACCTAGATGATCATTTCTTACACTAAATTAAACTCTACTGTTTGAAACCTATGAGAATTACAGGAGTTCCTGCCCCATACTCCAATACCCAGGTCAGGGATCCTAGAACTCTTTAGCACATGAATTGTCTGCTTCTCCAAAACATTCCTTATTGATAAAAATGTAGATGAGCTTATGGGTCCCACAATATTTTTAGTAAGAATAATGTTTGTTATTTAATTAAGGAATTTTTATTTTAAGATCAAACATATAGAAAAAACATTCACTATAATTTCAAATATATTATTTACTGAAAAATTTCTTAAATAGTTGTGTTGGTTAGCTTTCTTTCTTGAGATAAAAACTTAAAAGAAAGGAAAGGTTTATTTTGGCTCATAGTTTCAGAGATTTCAATCCATGGTCTTTTGGCCTTGTTTCAAGGCAGAATATCATGTCAGGAAGCATATGGAAGAGCAAAAAATAATTACCTATTGGCATCAAGGAAGCAAAGAAAACTGGCTAGGGTTCTCACTGTACATTTGTAGGGCATGCCTCCAGTGACATATTTCCTCCGAGTAGGCTCCACCTCCTAAAATTTCCACCACCTTCCAATAGCACTGATAAGGAAGAGGTAGATATAAGTGGTGGGAACATGAAGATTAAGGGATTAATTCTACAAACTGAGACTGTATGACAATTCTCAACATGTTAAAGGAACATAAAGTCATCCTGGCCCTGCTATGACCTAAGATGATAGCCCCTCAATAAAATATTATTCATAGGGCTGAGTAATATTTTTCTAATTCCCCTTACTTTGATAAGAGAATGACAGATTACTCTGACTGGAGGCTGGAGAGTTCAATAGTTTATGAAAACAAGTAGCAAATAAAATCGGTCAATACAAACCAATATGACTAAAGTTGCTTTCCGGCCCTTGTCATATTATTTAATCTTATAAAATTATAAATTTTCACCCCCATGAATTTCACTTAGACACTCCTGAAAGAAATATTCAATAGGGACTTAAGCACAATTCATCTGTCAATCAAGAGCTAGAAGATGCTCTGGCAGGATGCTCTGAAAACTGCCCCTTAACTCCAAGGAAATCTGAACTCTCAAAGAAGTGACATCTGTCTCTCTAGTAATCAGGGAAATGCAAATCAAAGATTCTCATCTCACTCCTGTCAGAATGGCAATCATCAGGAATACGAATAATGATAAATGCTGGTAAGGATTTGGAGGAAAAAGGTATATTCATATATATTTTGGTGTGACTGCAAATTGTACAACCACTCTGGAAAAAATATGAAAATTCTTGAAAAAATTGAGAATGTACCCACCATATGACTCAGTAGCCTGCTTCTGGTATTTATCCAGCAGAACTTAAATTACCATATTATAGCAACACAGCCACATCAATGCTTATAGTAGCACAATTCACAATAGCAAAATTATGAAACCAGTCCAGATACCCATTACTAGAAGAATTGTTTAATGAAATAATAAAATGTGGTATATATACGTGCATGCACACACACACACACAGTGGAGTTTTACTCAGTCTTAAATAAGAATGAAATTGTGACATTTGTTGCTAAGTGGATGGAAATGGAGAATATCATGCTAAGTTAAATAAGCCAGACTTAGAAAAGCAAAGTTCAAATGTTTTGTCTCATTCATGGAAGCTAGAGCAAATAAGATAAAAAAGGGGAAAAGAAGGGGGAGATGTTGGATATTACAAAGATATGGGATAAATTAGTAAAGTAGAATAAATTGATCAAGAAAGAGGGAGGAGGGATGGGAAAGGGAAGTGTTAAGGTTTAGATATCAGGTATTGACTAAAAGCTCATGTTTAGGACAATGAAAGGCAGTTTAGAGGTGAAATGAATTTGTTAGGAGAGCCTTAACACAATTAGCACATTAATTCATTGATAGGGATTACACAGGTAGAAACTGTAGGCTGGAGGGGCGGTGGAGGAGGTGGGTCAGTGGGGACATGCCTGCCTTTGGCTTTTATATTTTATCCCTGTTGAGGGATCCCTCTGTCTTTCTTTGTGCTTTTTGATTGTTATGTCCTGAGCTGCTTTCTTCCACCAAACCTTCTGCCATGATATTCTCTCATCTTGGACACAGAGATATGGAGTTGGCTGTCTATGGACTAAGGCCTCTGTAACCATGTGACTGCAAATAAGTTTTTCCTTTTTTTCCTTCAGGTCTTTTGATCATAGCGAATGACAAGGTGACTAAAACTGGGAGAAAATATGGAATAAATTTAACAAAATCACATTATGTGCCTATATAAATATACCACAGGGAATTCTACCTTTATAGGTAGAAAGCACAAATTAAAAAAAATAAAAATAAATGAGCCAAAAGAAGATTAGTAGAGAAAGGATAAATGGGGGATGGCAGAGCCGGGTAGGGAGAAAGGGAGAACAGGGACCAAAATGGAGTAAATCAAAGTCCATGCTTGTATAATTTTGTCAGAATGAATGCAACTACTATATGTAACTATAATACTCTAAAAAGAAATGATCTTTTTCGATTTCCTCTTTGAGACAGCACTCTCTCCCTTGAGAGTATCTTCTCTCCTTCTTATTTCCCTTCTAATAAAGTTTGCTATGCTTTTACTATTCCTTGTATCTTGCTTGAAATTTTATCTTGCCAAGACATAAGAGATGAGAATGCAACATAACTTTCCAGTGTCAACACCACCAGCTGAGGAATGAGCCTCTAACACATGAAATTCGGGGGGACATTTAAAACAAAAATCATAATATGTTTTAATATGTTATTGTTTGTGAGGAATTTATTGTTTAATAATCATCTCAAACTTGCTTTACTATGAAGCCTTTGTGTGTGTGTGTGTGTGTGTGTGAATAACCTCCAATATTATCTGTGCTATGTTTTGAAAGTACTAAACAAATTAAGAATATAATCAAAAGATTGATTAAAATTTATGTAATGGAAAAAAGCAAGCTACAATTGAAACAAGTAACTAGGTTTCACTAAGTGCAAATGGTAGAATGTAATATTGAATTTATGAAATCCATAAATTCTTTATGGTGACTATGTGTAACCTTTATGAATATTATTTGGCAGCTTTTGCATAACCCTGCCCTCCATCTCCATGAAGAATATTTTCATTTGTTAATTCATTTTTTCATGAATAATGTATTAAGTGGTAGATACTGAGTTGGCTACTAATGCAATAATAAAATTCAAGAAGTGTTGCATACATGTTAAGCTCCACAATAAAAGAATCATGCCTTTAACTTAAAATGTAACCACCCTATAAGGAGAGCTTTTATAGGTTTGTAAATTATTTAAATTCTTGATTACATGAGAACCTTAGAGATTGAGTGTGTAGCTTAGTGAAAGAGAACTTTCCTAGTATTAATGAGCTCTGGGTTTAATCTCCAGCTGACAACACAAACAACAAAAACAAAACAAGGCAAAAAAAAAAGGATAATCTTAAAATGCAAGAAATTAATGAATAGGAATTTTGGACAATACAGAGCAGAAAAAAAATTTGTGGGAAAAAAATAAAATAAATTTTTACCAACTTCCTCCTACTTGCACTAGTTTCTCTACTAAAAGAAACATAACTTTCTACACATTTTCAATGCAAATATCTATTCAAATATGCAGCAATTTTAATGAACACAGATATTCATACAAAACTATTTTGAATGGTTAAAGAATGGGTAACTTTAAATAAACAACTAATTGACAATGGTTCTCATACAGTAGTAAGTAATAAATTAATAACTGTTGAACTAATTTGGACTAAAGATTTTGGTATCAATAAACAATAATGCTTTTAGAATGCCATAGCTTTGTAATAAAGCAGAGGAAGTAGAATAGTTTTACGTTTACACTGTTAAAATTCTTATATTTGCTACTTAAGCAGATTTTAACTCCCAACAAATACCAATTCTATTCCAAAAGCAGTGCTAACTGATGCTTTATGTATCAGCTATGAGCACATCAAACTTGTAGGGCAAAGAGGGCTATATATATTTCTCTCTTTTTTGTGTGAGGAATTTATTGTTTAATAATCATTTACTAACTGACCTTT